ATTCTTTTTCACTCATGATCTTCAGAAGAATGGTGAAATAGATGTACAACAAGTTCGTTCAAGAGATAATTTGGCTGATCTGTTCACTAAGGAATTACCAACCTCAATATTTGAAAAGCTGATATATAAGATTGGAATGCGTCGTCTTCGAGACATTAAGTGATTTTTCATCAGGGGGAGTAACTACACGCTGCACTCTTTTCCTTAACCAAGGTTTTGTCCCACTGGGTTTTCCTGGTAAGGTTTTTAATGAGGCAGCAAGCAATGCATATTATAAATAACTATGTACATCCCAATATTTTTTTTGTAAGTTTTTAATGAGGCACATTATCTTACATGGACATCCAAGGGGGAGTGTTATGAATAGTTTGTACATTGGATACTACTTTGGATACTACATTGGATACTACATTGGATGCTACATTGGATGCCCATGTTGTGAATAACTTAAAGATTAAATTTCCTATTTTATGTCCATCATCTTTACTTTTTATGCCTATAAAAGGCCATGTAATTGCAATGAAAAATTACACCAAAGTGAAAGAAGAAAACACTTCTCCATTCTCTCTATCTCTTCTTGTTTACATTTTACTGCATTGCTTTTATTTTAAAACAATATGGAAGTTATAAGCACAGAAGAAATATTTTTCTCAAAAACTTACATGCTTTCAGCAGATAATGATATAGAAGAGTCGCTTGCAATGGTGAGAGAAAAAGGTTTCATATCACTAAACCAACGTTGTGACGCAGTTGTTCACTTTCTGGCCATAAAAGGAAATGTTGCTGCTCTTACAGCACTTATTGAAGAAGGTCTTCTTAGTATAGAAGCACTTAGAAAGAAGAATGTCAAAGGATGAACAGCATTGCACGAAGCCGCGAGGTATTATATATTAAAATGTGTGACCATTATATTACGTCGATTTAAAATTATTTTTAGAAAAATTTCACTTTTATTTACTTAATTATAGTATAAGTTAATTTGAACAGATATGGACAGAAGGAGGTGACAGAAATAATGGTAATGCAAGACATTGATTTAGTTCATTTAAAGGATGAAGTTGGGGAAACGCCATTGTACATTGCAGCTGAATATGGGAAGGATGAAGTTTTTAGACTTCTAGAGGATTTTGGGAGTGATTGCTTCGCTAAGAGAAATGATGGTTGCACTGTTCTTCACGCTGCTAAGAAATGGGTTGATTTCTTAATTTATCGATTTCCGATATCAACTTTCAGAATAAATGATTCAGTACTACGATTCTTTTTCTATATCCTCCTGATTCCCTTTAAAATTTTGACAATAAAGTTTAGACTAGAAGCTTTACTCGATCTCCTACGTACTTACAATTATTATTTTGTGTTGAGAAGCTATCCCAGAAATGTATATCGAATCTGAAAATGTTGTGAATCTGGACGAGCAACATGATTTAAGAGATGGTGGTATCATCAAACGACAAAGGTCATCAAGGTTGCAAGCAATTTTAGGTACTGCCTATATGTCCCAGTTTCAAGAAAGCTTTACTTATATGGTTTTTGTTTTGCATGTAATCCAATTCACGTATTCAATTAGTCAACTGTTTGACGTTTGAACAATATACATATAATATACTTATTGAATTGTGTAACTATCTCATCTAATTAAAGGTTTAAGTTCTTAGAGAGAGAATGTCCACTTCGATTTATAATTATTTAATTATATATGTTTCAACACGACTTCTCATGATGGGTGACTTTGATTTGTTTTTGAATTGTGTTACCATCTCAATTAAAAGTTTAAGCTATTAGAGAGAGTATGTTTTTATTATTTCTTCAACACGCCGTCCCTGACGTGCATGCTTGATTCTTTTTCACGAGCCAAACACATGAAGATGAATTCATTTTATAATGGATGGCAATGAGAGTACTTGAAAACAGGACCTTTGTTTTCTCCGGTATCATGCATATTGAAGTATATAACCATCTCATCTAAAAGTATAGATTATATATATTAGTTGGGAGAATATGTACACTTTTATTTATTTAATTATGTTTTAGCTCCTAATATATATAGGAGACCATTTTTGTGTTAGCTATTGTGCCTATTATTTGTCGGTTTTATGTTAGTAATTTCTTAGCTGAAACCTGCTTAGACGGTTTGATCTACTCATATACCACTTGACTTAAATTACTATAGCATGGAAGTCATATATATATATATATATATATATATATATATATATATATATATAT